ATTAAATGCTGTCTTGGGTATCGAATTATCATGCATCTCGACTTGATGAATGCCAGAGGCTAAATCTAGTATCGTAAAATATTACTACGACCAAATCGGTCTAATATATCAGTAATATTAGGTAATGGATATCTATCATCAATAGTGTTTTCGCTTATCTTTCGATAATCAACGACCATTCTCCATTTTTGTATGCCTGCGGCATTTTCTTTCTTGGGTACTATCCAAACAGGGGATGACCAGGGACTATAGGATGGTCTGATTATGTTATCTTCTAAAATTTTTTTTATTTGAGAATTTACTTCTTGTTTATGCCCATGCGGATATCTATACGTTTTCGTGTGCACTGGTATTTCATCTGTTGTTTTAATCTCATGTTTGACTTGATTGGTGAATGTTAAGTTTTCTTTATTTGGCTTGTGGAAAATTTTAGGAAAAGCTTTAATTACGTGTTTTAAAGCATCATATTCATCTGAGATTAAATTATTAATACGTAGTGACTTTATAGGGTCATTTGCATATTCGTCATTTTCTAATGAAGTCATTTGTTCTATATTAAATATCTCAAACTGCTCATTAGCATAGGGTAAACTTATTATCGCCAAGTTATTAATGTTATATGAGACAATAATAGGCTTATTCATTAAGTTGTGTACTTCTAAAGGCACCATCTCATTCATGACTGTTGTTATTGTCGAGGGAATATATTATGTTTAATTTTTTATTGAAGGTGTAAGAATTTCAACGCCATTAGCTATATTTATATTGAAATAACATACTTGAATTGAATTACTTGGAATCTTGAAGTTTTGATTCTCAAAATCTGTTCTATAGCATATTAGAAAAATCTATATTCAAATTATTTTCTTGCAATGCTTTGATTCCAATAATTCCATCAAAATTCCATGGAAATTATACATTATCATTTCGATGTTGTTTTGAATATTATATTCTTGTAAAATTGGGACATTGATTTTTCCTTGTGTTTTTCTTGTACCCATACAATTTGTTAACTTATTTCATGAATTAATTATAGAATTCGAAAAATATTTTTCTGCGATTGAGGGTCTTATTGAAGAGGCATGACTTCCTGTGTCAATTAATAATTCACATGGTGGATAGTCTATTTGGATAAAAGGTAGCTGGTTGATCTGATAAGCATTAAAAGTTAATGCTGACTCATTGCATCCAAGGCTGGTAACTGAAAATTTTCGTCTTCAGTTTCGACTCGATTTTCTTCAAAAGGACCCCGCACAAAACTTACGGAAAATGTGTTTATGTCAAATCGTCTGATTTTTTGATAGTGTGTCAAGCTCGATATCCTGAATAAAAGTTATCATTGCGCCAAAGCCAAATAATGAACAGTTTTTGAAATAAACGCCCTTTTGTACTCTCACAAATATAGGTAAATCTTATAGACTATGACATCAAAAAATTAATTACCTACAGGTGAAAAATGCGGTGATAAGTGGAATCAAAACACTGTTGCTTTGGGTCTTCCAGGAGAATGCTTTGGACTAGCAAAAAAACACTATTTCATTGGTAGTACAATTTTTGTTTATATGAGTATCTTCAATAATCAAAATGGAAAAATGGAGCTGACTTATTACTATGGCTGATGTCGATTTCCAACATCCATAACCGTTTCTAGTAGGATTGTTGGGGGATAGTGCACATTGGGTTGATGTCGCGCATAACCCAAATACCATAACAAGCTTGCGATATGGCTACAACAACCCAATGTCCTTGCACCAGATTTGCAAGTGCAGTAATGTTCCAAAATTGCTTCTTCCACTTGTTCAGGATGTTGCTGTAGTTCCTGAACGGTTCTATAAGTAATCAATATTTGGTACTTAGTAGCATTTCTGAAGCGGGAATAAATTCGGGCCCGAATAAATCCCGGTTCTGGGTCGAGTTGATCTACCTGCAATTCATCATCGCCATCTCGTTGCAATTTTTCCTGTATATACGAGGCGCTAGGGTTACTTGGTACACACCAAATGTGAAATCTTTTAAATACTCGATATTCAATCGCGGAAAGTCCACCAATTGTCCGTCATTCAGCCGTTCCCAAGCAGCATTTCTCGCTTGCAGACCAAATTGCTCAACTCGAGCTTCAACCACATCAACCTCACCGGCTTTTTCCAACATAAATTGAGCCAGCTCAGCATTGCAGCCATTCATTTCTATAAGGGGATGGTACCTATTAATTATAGCTCCCGCAATCCGGTAAAATTCTCCTAAATGTGGTATATGCTGAAGGCTTATTGTCTGGCTGAAAAACTTGAACACGCTTTTAATCTGTCCATTTCGCGCTTCTACAATCCAGCGGGTTTTGGTAACCAACCGGGATTCATTTGCATCCTCAGTAGACAACTGGCGTTGTCCACGCTCCACACCACGAGGCATACGATATTGGATGCCAAGCGCCTGTAATAGTGGGATTGAATCCCTATACCCTCTATCAAGCACAATAATGTCGCCGTTCTGGAACCATTCCCTCATGTTTTCGGCATCACGTTCAAACTCATTTCGTAGGACAGCCGCATCATTATTTCGCGAGTCGGCAAAATAGGGACCTTGTATTGCCAGAATATACCCGTCTGGTGCTACTATCAGTGTAGGTTTCACAAGATGACGACCTTTGTGAATCGAAAACGTTTGTCGCAGGGTCTGGAAGTTGGAGCTTTTGGGAACATAGGAATACGTGCCATCATTATATGCAATAACTCTCGGGGTGCCCGGATTCTCATTGTAAAGTATATTCGCAAAGGGAGGTACATGTAAAACCAATATTTTGAGGTACAAATCTTTGTAATAGAGATTGCCTCACGGTTGCTATCGCGAGACTTGCAGTTTGACGGCTTCTGTAATTGAAAATAGCCTTAACGAAACTATCCGACAATCCCTGTCGCATTTTGCACAAAAAGGCCAGTAGATCTTTTCTGGCAACATATCTATAACCATTCTCTATCGGTATAGGATCGCAAAGATCATATAAACTTCTAAACTGAACTTTCGTGATAGGGGCGATGCTTTCAAAGTCTGCATCAGAAAAATAATCTTCGCTATCAATTTTGGGATGTTCATTAGCTGTATTTCTCAAGTGTTTCAAAAACTTTTGCAACTCTCGACCTGGAATTACGTAGGGCCTGTTTACAAATCTCAAACCTGGCAGAAGTCTTTGCAGAAGAAAACCGTTTCCGTTCAAATGGTGAGCACAACTTTTGACATATTCTGGAACAATATATGTCCCTATTAAGGAAGATATTCACCCTGGCCTCGGTAGATAATCGGGGTTCATTTGGTGAGTTGCAAATAAGACACGAATGGCTTGAACTTTGCGTCAAAACATTGAGCCGCAAACAAGCGGGATCTCGCTGAAGTGCATTTATTTCCCTAATAATGGATCTGTTGCAACTGGCACAAATTCTTGTGAGTTCATTGATTTCTATGATAGGCCTGATGTTTGCTAGACGCCTTTGTTGAGCTATGGCACACTTATCGGCATTTTCATCTCCAACAAGACGCACCATTAATCTGGGAGGAAGTGCCGCAGGACATATGAAACAGTGCAATATATTCCTCATTGCCATGATCAAAAAGACTTTATGAATCGGAAGAAAAATGGATCACACTATAAAACAATTTACGGTTGCGGAAAGTGTGGGGAAAACCTGAACTTTTTGGAATTCACCTATCTATTTTTATCTGTCAAACGCTGTCAATACAGTTCAATTCCGATTCTAAAAAAATGAAAACGCTTCAGCGCATTTTTCACCTGTATAGGTATAAGATTTACCTATATTTGTGAGAGAACAAAAGGGCGTTTATTTCAAAAACTGTTCATTATTGGGCTTTGGCGCAATGATAACTTTTATTCAGGATATCGAGCTTGACACACTATCAAAAAATCAGATAATTTGACATAAACACATTTTCCGTAAGTTTTGTGCGGGGTCCTTTGTCTCCTCATAATAATTTTGATCTGTACTGACCGTCTAAAAGGCCGACCAAAAATCAGTTTGTTGGGTAACCCAAAATAGGGAAAACAAGTTTTCTCCTATTATACACATTCACATCACTGTAATTTTTGTTCGTTATAACCAAGCGTGTGTTACGGTACGCCACACTAATTATACTCAAGTTTAAGTGTATTAGTGCATTTATTCAAACGCTATTCAAGTACGGATACATAAATTTTTGTTCTGAAAATTATACGGAAAGCCATAAGAGTATCTATAAATATAAAAAATAGACCCTCGTAGTATACTTTTGGTGTTCTCTACATGAGCCCAAAATAGATGAAGAATTATCGTAGGTACTATGAGTATTGTATATGCATGTAAATTTTTTCATTATAAAATTCCGAAACAAATTCCGGTTTCTCCAGATACAATGTGGGATACTAGGTACGGTTCAATTGAAAATTTTAAAACTTCACAGTTGTTATGGTCTGAATTTGTGAATCTTTACTAATCTAAATTGTTTGTAGAAAAATGGCGAATGCGCCAGGTAACTGAATTTATACGATTAATAAAACATACTGGTAATTTTGCTCATTGCTTTGGAGCATTTTTCTATTTAATTTTTATAAAAATGTTAGATTTTAACTCTGAGGTAGCACCATGGAGTTGTCTATTGTTTTCAGTGGATGTTTGCTATTAAATAAATAATTGAATGAAATCTCGACTAACAACTGAGGATTTATTAAAATAATACCTTAAAGTAACAAATGTTCTACTTGATTGTTCTAGGAACTTGGAGATAGCTTATTGTCTAATATTTCAAGATTTAACACTGGTATAAACCTATATTTAGTTACGTGATGACCATAATACTATTCATTCATAAAATCCAGTTGATTGCAGTGTTTTGGTTGTTTGTTTTGACCCCTTGTGCTGATTCTGTTCAGGATTCCTGTACCCTTGGATGAGGCGTTGGAGCTGGTTGCATTGTCAGTGCATTCTCGTCGGAAAAGTTGGATTTCCTCAATGTTCATGTTCTCAGGGAGTATTGGAAAACGTACTCTTGTGGCAGCTAAAATTGCAGATTATTGTATTAGGAAAATATTAAGACTATAGTATTACCTACCTGTATTTTGGGACGTCAGTTGCTTTAGTGTTTCCTATTTGAGGAAACGCAGGAAAATGGCTTTGAGGATTTGTTGCCGTTTTGTTTACATTCACACAAAATATTCCGTCTGTCACTCTTCATATAATTAAAATATTTGCTTTTGGACTGCGTTAGGATTCACGTTTGGCTTGCGTTTGAAATATGCGGTTTTTGTTGAGAGAGACTTATACGCTGATAAAGGAATGAACAAGGATGAAATAAAATGGGATGGAGTCGTTATTTCGCTTCTTGATTCTTCATTAAATTTTTGCCGGTCCAATTCTAGGGGCCAACTGTTGTTGCAATATCCCTAGGTTTTATTAGTTTTTTATAAATAGTTTTTCGTTAGTTTAATTTTTACTAGTTTAACCCTTAAGTGCGCGCGCGGGGGCACTAAGTGCTCCGTTTTCAGTAAAAGAGTCATAACTTATTTGATTGGTCCCAATTTTGCGGCCCCGCCCATCTAACCTAACACTGGGATGTGCAGTCCCTGTACTAGCGTTTGTGAGTAGTTTGCATAAGGGTGCCTTCAGATATGGATGTACATGAAGCAGGCTGCCCCAAAGGTGCACAAAGTGCTCCGGCGCGACCACTTATGTAATGTAAGTATTATATTTTTATTATTATTATTATTTGTTTATATTATTTTGCTATAATAGTGTTTGATAAACAGTATAATATATTTTTGCACGGTCCGATTTTGTTGGTTACAGTTTTTTTATGGTAATAAAATATTGATATCCATTATTATTTCCAGGGAACCAAGAAATGCGAATAAATTGACAGATGCAGAACTAGCTTATTATTTAGAGAATGATGGAGATGACATTGGTTCTACAAGAGAGACTGACACCTACTCTATTGAATCTGAAGACTCCGAAGAAGAAATTCTTCACGAGAGTGAACTTGATAGTGACTCAGAACAAAGCGTGGATGACAATGTGGAGGAATCTGATGATAATATGGCTGAGTCTGACGACCAAAATATGGATGACCACGACTTTTTTGTTGGCAGGGACAAACAAACTAAATGGTATAAAAATCCAATTATTTCTAAATTTAGTAAAATTGGGGCTTAAAACATCATCAAAATTTTACCTGGGCCAACACGCATTGCAAGAGATATTCCTGATGAATCAACAGCCTTTCAAAAATTTATAGATATCCAAATGATTGATGACATACTTATGAACACTAACGTATACGTTCGAAATTACCAAACTCCCAAATATGGAAGGGAAAGGGACGCCAAGGAAGTTACAAAAGCTGAACTCCTGGCATTTTTAGGCTTACTTTATCTTGCTGGAGTCAAAAAGGCAAATCACACTAACTTCCAAGAGCTATGGACAGATGATGGCACTGGCATCGAAATTTTTCGCGGCTGCATGAGCTACAAGAGATTTTTATTTCTCTTGGGTAACATTAGGTTTGACGATAAGGAGACAAGATCTGATAGACGAAAAATAGACAAATTAGCCCCAATACGATCTACTTTAGATATGTTTGTAGATAATTGTAAAAAAAGCTATTGTGTTGGGGAATTCGTAACAATAGATGAGAAACTAGAACCATTCCGAGGTCGTTGCAGCTTTATTCAATACATACCAAATAAACCCGCCAAATATGGTATCAAGATTTTTGCAATGTGCGACTCCAAAACATACGCATAATCTAGAAATGTATTGCGGAAAACAACCAGATGGACCCTATGCAAAGTCAAATACCCCAACAGACATTGTGCGTAGGTTGTTAGAACCAGTGAAAGGAAAAAATCGTAATTTGACATGGGATAATTGGTATACTAGCATACCACTTGTTGAAGTTCTTTTCAAGGATAAAACAACACTGGTAGGTACTTTAAAAAAGAACAAAAGAGAAATTCCTCCGGAATTTTTGCCAAATAAAAACAAGATTGTCAAAAGCTCAATGTTTGGATTTCAAAAAAATATAACAATGGTATCCTATGCCACAAAAAAAAAAAGGAGTTATTCTAATTTCCACAATGCATAATGACGCTGCAATGGACCAAGAAACAAATAAACCAGAAGTAATCACCTTCTACAACTCAACCAAAGGAGGAATTGATACAGTAGATCAATTGTGCAACTCATATTCTGTTTCAAGAAGAACTAGAAGGTGGCCTTTGGCTGTATTTTTTTCACTGCTGAATATAGCAGGAATTAACGCCCAAATTATCTATAATGCCTCTCATTCCGAGTCGCCACAACTAAGGAGAATCTTTTTGAAAAATCTTTTTTGAATTTGATGAAACCGCATCTAAGAGAACGAGCTACAATTTTTTCGCTACCGACGAACATAAAATCAATTCTGTCAAAATATAGAGTTGAAGAAGAGGTCCAAGAAAATGTTCCAGAAGAAAAACGTAGCGGTCGCTGTTGTTTTTGCCCGAAAGCAAAAAGAATAAACACCACGATAAAATTTAATACTTGTCGGAAATTCGCTTGTAAAAAACACATTGACATCAAGTATACTTCCCAAAATTGTTCAAAACTAACTGGCAGCGACCTGAGTTTCTAAAATATATTTTTATTCACTTTTTTTCTAGAATTGATTTGATTTTATTTGCTTGACTACAATTATTTTTTCTGTTTTTTTTTGTTATTTTGTAATAGGAATAAAGTTACCTGAGTTATACATTCTATTTAGTAAGTAAATCGTTTTTTTTTTATATTACTTATGAAATATATATCTATATATATCCATAGACGCGTTTCGACCTATCAGGTCTCATCAGTATGGCTAGGAAAAGCAAAGAAAACCAAACCAAGTTTCGTGCCTGTAGGCAATATATACATAGTACAAGGGTCGAAATTTGATCGTGGCGCCATCTAAGACAAAACCTCAACACCAAGCAGCAATTTTCGCTGCAATATGGTGACTGAGAATCTAATCGGCCAACCAAAATTCAGTTCGTGGGAAAACCCAGAATAGGAAAACCTATTATCCACTGATGAGAAAATATTTGGTTTGATTTTCTATGCTTTTCCATCCATAGACGCGTTTCGACCTATCAGGTCTCATCAGTATGGCTAGGAAAAGCAAAGAAAACCAAACCAAGTTTCGTGCCTGTAGGCAATATATACATAGTACAAGGGTCGAAATTTGATCGTGGCGCCATCTAAGACAAAACCTCAACACCAAGCAGCAATTTTCGCTGCAATATGGTGACTGAGAATCTAATCGGCCGACCAAAATTCAGTTCGTGGGAAAACCCAGAATAGGAAAACCTATTATCCACTTTTGGTTTGGTTTTCTTTGCTTTTCCTAGCCATACTGATGAGACCTGATAGGTCGAAACGCGTCTATGGATGGAAAAGCAAAGAAAATCAAACCAAATATTTTCTCATCAGTGGATAATAGGTTTTCCTATTCTGGGTTTTCCCACGAACTGAATTTTGGTCGGCCGATTAGATTCTCAGTCACCATATTGCAGCGAAAATTGCTGCTTGGTGTTGAGGTTTTGTCTTAGATGGCGCCACGATCAAATTTCGACCGTTGTACAATGTATATATTGCCTACAGGCACGAAACTTGGTTTGGTTTTCTTTGCTTTTCCTAGCCATACTGATGAGACCTGATAGGTCGAAACGCGTCTATGGATGGAAAAGCATAGAAAATCAAACCAAATATTTTCTCATCAGTGGATAATAGGTTTTCCTATTCTGGGTTTTCCCACGAACTGAATTTTGGTCGGCCGATTAGATTCTCAGTCACCATATTGCAGCGAAAATTGCTGCTTGGTGTTGAGGTTTTGTCTTAGATGGCGCCACGATCAAATTTCGACCGTTGTATATATATATGTTTTTTTGATGTATGCATTTTTTTATGTAAGAATGTAAGTATAATAAACAAAAATAAAAATAAAAAGTATACTTCTATAATATTTTGAATCGTATTACAACATTAAACGTAAGGTGCACAAAGTGCTCCTCGCGAGTAGTTATGTAAAAAAAGTTGACGCGCCTACTTAAGGGTTAAGTTTGGTTGGCATTACTGATTTGGCCATTTTTGAATTTTGGAAAGTGCCCGGTGGGGAATCACTTTTAAAATAGCCAGTACATGTGCAAGTTGATTTATTGAATACCCGGTACTTTGTATCGGGTAGGTACTTTTTTTACATCACTAATGCAAAACTCTCTTTCGAGCAATTCAAATCTGGCGTGCTTTTTAAATCACCCTATACTACGATACTGTGTTATTTACGAGCATGCGCGTCGATGCAAATGGAAACCATCGACAGAAATGTAGGTATGTGTACATACACATATCACATATACTGTTATACACGCATCTGTATACGTACATATGTACATACAGGGGCTTTCATTTCGAAATTTGCCACCCACGTTATCTGCCTAAAGAGACAGATTTCTGGAAATCGCCGGAACACGTCAACAAATTAACGTACCCCCTCAATAAATTTGTTGACTTGTTTCGGCGATTTCTAGAAATCTGTCTCTTTACGCAGATAACGTGAGTGGCAAGTTTTGAAATGAAAGCCCTGTACATATTTACGTATAATATGCATAAGGCTATTTTCGAAATTCTCGAATGTAGGGCTGAGAAATCTTACCTCTTTAGGACAATGTGTAATTGTAGTTATATTTACCAAACTACAGCAAAAAAATCAACTGGTTATAAATCGTTTTTTATGAGCCAGTAATTGCTACATTTTTGAGAAAGGGGACACTGCAGACCAAACCATTTATTTTGTGGCTCAAATCGAATTTCGAATTATTTATAAAACTATCTCATTATTCACCTGAATAATTAACTGTTAACTGTTAATAATTACATTTGCATAATCACTTAATCAAGGTATTTTACATGTGCTCACTAGTGCTCACTTTAGTAGCTACTACTTTTGCAACTTTTCGCAATAGAAAAGTTAGGCGTATTATCAAAACGAAGATGCTCGAGAAGATTTAGCCGGTGATTGATGAATAAAGTATTACCGTGAAGTCGACAACTTTTCAGTGTAGGACTGGAGAAATGTACCTCTTTATTTGTAGGACAGTGTAACCATTTAATTGTAGTAATATTTACTAAGCTACATTAAAAAAATCAACTGGTTATAAAGCATTTTTTATGTAACGTATCTGCTACATGTTTGAGAAGGGGGACAGCCTAGATCAAACCATTTATTTTGTCGGACAAA